TTTTATTACAAAAAAAAAATTAGGGGAAAATGGTGCGCATATAAACCAAAAATATTTGATTAAAAAAAAGAATTAAAAGTGTAAACTAAGGGAAATATTTCAGTCAAAGAAAAATTTAACGGTACATAATAAAAATTTATAATACAACTCAAAATTTCACACAGTTATAGCAAAAAAATTAAATTTTGGTCAAAAGTTTTTTTTACCGAAAAATTTTGAATTCAATGAGTCATTGATTGTGATCGCTATAAGGCACTTAGAAACTGCATGTTAACCATAAATTTCTTTCTAATCAATGTTATTAATTTTAAACAAAAAAACTATAGAATTAAGGACCGATTGTCCGATTAGGGCAAAAATAGCGTTGATTAAGTTTGATTTAATTCATATATTGAGTCAATTCATATATTGTCAAAGCATATCAATCATAAATGCCAAAAATTGAGTAAGAAATCTGACAGATCGTTTACAAATTAACTTTTTCATAAATTTTTTTATAAACAGAAAAAGAAGCAACATTAACCTTACTGCCTCGTTACACCATATACATGTTTATGGCATAGTAAGCCTAACGTTACTTTGTTACGTTACGCAATCACTGTATTCGTATACAAAAATCATAATTTAAACATTTTGCCTTTAAAAATTAAATGTGAGCAAATACTAAAAAGAATTGTAATTATAATCTTTTAAAATCAACTTTAATCAAAATTTTACTTCTCATTTTTGAAAAGTAATACTTTAGTGTAACCATGTTAATATTATAATTTTTATTTTCAATTTCCCCCTTATTTTTTTCGCACTTATTCATTTGATCTTCATTTGCATAGTGCACAATCCCATATTTTTATTTGAATGAAATACAAAAAGTCTTTCGTTTGTTTTTTTAATCTTGTTCTTCAAGAAAATTATAAAATTTTTAAACTCTTCCATATTTTTATGCTATATATCGTATATAGATTTGAGTAAGTATCTGCATATACATGTGTGAAAACATGTACAGTATACAATTTATACTTTACTATACTTTTTTGTAAAAAATTACAAAAATCGTTTGAGAATTCAAAATCAACCAAACCCAAAAAAGGGGATAACATACTGTATAGTATAATAATATGAACACTCTTCAATAAAAATTGGATATCTTTTGAATCTTTAAGATAAGCAACAATGAAAAAACAAGAGAAAGAAAAAAAATTTTTGTATATATACAATGAGAAGAAACTTTTTCGTTTGAGGTTTTTTTCCATACTGTATTTTTCCATATTATACTTATGCTGACTGGTTCAAAATAAAAACCAAATAGCAAAAGAAGTATAAAGAATTTTTTTTTTGAAAAATCACAAAAACAAACAAAACCCATTTTTATATTTTTCCCTCTTTTCTAAGCAGTTTTGGGATATGCTATTATTTTTCTAATTTTTTCCTTTTCTGTTTTTTTTTTACATTAGAAAAATCGACTTTATCGTATAAAAATCGTACATAAATGTATGTATAAATGTATACTTTAAAATTGGGTTTGATGACTTTGAAGTCGACCGAATCATGAATTCACCATACCAAAATAAAAAAAAAAAATAAAGAGTACATAAGAAAATCCAATAAAAATAACAAAAATAAAAAAAGTTCTATCCAAGTAAAGTAAAATCCGTTTTACTGCTTGCCTTCAAACACACAAGTAAAACACAAAATTAAAGAAATAAAATAAAATTCCAAGTTTTTCTTTCTTATTTTACTCAATTTATTTAAAAAAAAAAAGAGAAAAAATGAAGAAAGAAAAGATGTGAAAATTTTTGTTAACATACACACAATCATTCACAAATCCACAATAAATCGAATGTATTTAAGTATGTACATACTTGGTACGTACACATTTACGGTATTAGAAATTTTGTTTTTGTTTTGAGCTCACTGAACTAAGGAATTCAAATAAAATTTTCTCTATAATATTGAAATATTATAAAACAAAAATTAATATGTATATTTTCTAACAAAGATTAAAGTACCCAACTATGTATATATAGGTAGTATGAATAAAAAAGATGCCACAAGAAATTTTTTTTCGTTGTTGCTTTATTTCCCAAATAAGATTCAACAACAACGATAAAGAGTATGTAGCAACTTTATAAATGAACAAAGTTATATTTTATAATAACAAAATATAATATAAAAAATCAGAAACAAGAAAATCTCTAAAGGGAAAACTCTTAATATTCAAAATCATTAGCATAGCACATACAACAATTTAGTTGTACGCAGTTCAAATTTTTTTTGTTTTTGTTTTAATCTTTAAGAGTTTTAAGAGTCAGAGAAAAAAAATGTATTTTTTCCCATTTAGTTACTACTTTAATGTCACATGAAAGTATGTATATATACATATGTATACACATCATTTTTTTACATAAATATAAAATATTTTTCGTATGTATGTATATTTTTTGTTCATAGAAAATGCATGCTTACTGTTTTTAATGGTACATAATTCCAAGAGAAGACATAATACTCGTAGAAGGTAAAGGTACCCTATAGCTAGTAGATGAAAAATGTTAAAATGAAAACATGAGAGTTTTTTTTCCGTTTTCTATATTCGTATAAAATTTCATAGCAAACAGAGAAAATATACATAAACGAACGAATACCTTCTTCTTCTACCTACTACCATATTAAAATAAACAATGATAAAGTCAAAATATAAGAGACAATGTATTAGGGTATACGAAAAACGATATATGGAAAAAATTTGAAGTGGAGAAAAAGTTGAAAAAGTTATAAAACAGGAAAGTCAGTAAAACACAAAAAAAAATAAAAAGGTTATACGAAGTATACATATTTGGTTGCCTTTTCTACTTTACTATACTCATCGTATTTTTTTTTTATCATTTTGTAAGAGTTTTCACATTATTTACACACTGAATTCCAAATCATCGTACCCTACGAACGAAACATTAACAATATATTCAATATATGCTTGAAAAATATTTTCATAGCCCGCATCATATTATGCAGATCAATGGGTAATAATATTCATTTTTAAAGAAGCAAAATTTAATGTAGCGAACACAAGAAAATAATGATATAAAACATAAGTACGAATAAGAAACATACAGCCTACCTAAATATTTTTGACAGATTCATGAGAAGAAATTTTTTTTTAGGAAATGTTGTATGTTACTTTTACTGGTATTATTTTTGTATATTGTTAGAATTATTGTAAATGTGTATTATGTATTAAATCTTATCGTGCACTTTGATAAATTGAAAATTTTTTTTGGTTTTCATTTCTATCATTCCATATACAGAAAGTATGTGTGTTTATCAAATGAAAACAGAAAATTTATGATTGATATATGAAAACATAAATGTCAAATTTTATTAATGGACATAATAAGTTTCAAATGTCAAGTTTCAATGACATTTGATTATTTATCAAATAAATTATATAGATATTTGCGAAGAATGAACAAAATAAATGATTAAAAAATTATATATTAATAAAAAAATCAAATTTTTATTAACTAAAGGCTCAAAAACTAGAAACTACCTTATTTAATTTCAGAACTCGAAAAAGATAAATTTTTTTTAAGTAACTGTAGAGCTCATGAAAAGACCCAACTTTCCTAATTAATATAAAATATACTCTTTAATAAATTACAAATTCTAAACATTAATCACACATTATTCCAATTAAGATTAACTTTTATATTTTATAACATATAACATTACCTCATCTTTAAATCAAAAGTACCGTTATGTACCATTAAATACAAATATAAAGTAAAATGTTTCATCATATTGCGCAGGAGCTCGTTCTGAAAACCTTATTTCTTTTATATTGTATTTTTCACAATCTGGAAACTGAATGTTATATATGTACATACATATAATAAAGTAAAATATAGATCTTATCACTTGATTGTAAATTAATATCTTATATTTTGTAAATTTAGATTTACGACCTAGAAGTCGATAATATTTCCCTTATTTATTTTTTAATATAACAATATTTTGTTGAATATTTACGGGCAATCATAGGAATTTTTATTTTATTTTTATTTTATTTCATAATACTTGGACATTTGAATTAATTTTTGACTTTTGAAACCTATGCCTAACAAGTAATTGTTAGGTTTTAGACGCTAACAAAATAATACACTACTCTGTAGCCTATTAAGTAAGGTATTAATTATATAAATATTTGAATAATTCAACTGTTATAATAAATTGCATAGTAACTATAGAAAAATACATACAGTTTGCAATAATTTTCAAATTATATCTAGAACCGTAGGTTAAATTAAATGTTAATAATTCATTTCTACATTACCGAATAAGGAATTTTGTATTTAAATTCAAAAAAAAAATTTAACATTATAAACTACAATACGTTCTACAATACTATTTTAAATTAAATTCTCATTAGTACAAAAAAAAAATTATACAATAAAGCAGAAAACTGGCACTCGCATATCAAATTATAATCAAACATTCTCAAACTTTCCATGACAGAAAAAAGAAAGAGATAAAATTATATTAAAATTGAATTAGCTAAAAAGAGACAATAATATTCGAAAAAGTTTTATATTTAAAATTGACGTATACTTTGGGAATATTTAATATACCAGTATACAAAAAATATGTATATAAAAGTATTATGCAGGTATATACAATTTTGTACATATTATATGTAAAGTAAAATAAACACTTGAATTTTATTTACATCATATAATAATATACTGTATATACAGTACGTATACATAATTTAATGTAGATAGGTATATATAAAAATAATGCAGAGAATACACAAAAAGTTGAAAATAATGTCGGATTATAATATGAAATTGTACTGTTTTTTTCCATGACACAAACTCAAAAACAGAAAAACGACAAGAAAAATACAAATAAAATTTTTTTTTTTTTTTCGAAAAAAGAGGGTATAAATAAAAAAAAATTTTTGTGTATACGAAGTATACAAAAAATATTGAAAATTATTTTTCTCTTACATTCAGCACAATTTATTTTCTTTTTTCATTTTGAACTAAACTGAACTGAATTGAAATGAACTCCTTTTAAACGACACAACTGAATATACTATACAAAGAAAAACGCTATGACTTTTAAAAAATATATAATTGAAGAAAACTAAATAACAAAATATAGAAAAAAAAATAAAAGAGGACTGTGTTTTGCCATGCCATCCAGCCGTGATGCCATACCCGTACTTGCACACATTGAAAAAATTATATATAATAAATGGAAAAAATATAATACTTTTGACAGGCATTAAGTTGAAAAATTATACTATAAGAGTGTTGCCTGTGCTGTTGTTGCTGTTGGCTCTAAAAGAGTCAGCTAACTTTAAAATATTTTTATATTATACAAAGATTATATTTAAAATGTTGCCGTTGTTGTTGCTGCTGTCATTGTTTTCTTAACCATTTTATTTATTCCATTTTATCACATATAGAAACTTTTTTTTTTTACTTTTTTCTTGTTTTTCAGAAAAATAAATGTAAAAAACTTTTTATGGGATGAGATAATCAATTAAATATTTAGTATAACAAAAAGAGATAGACAATATATTTTTCAGTAAAAATGAAATTTTTCATTTCGTTCCGTTCGTAAACACAAAAAAAAAAGACTTTTTCAGTTTTCTATACTAAAAATTTTTGCAACAGAGGGTACTGTTGTAGATTGTGACTGATGTTTATAAAAAGATTGCTAATGAGTAAATTTTTTAAAAAAATATAGGGTGATTACAAATACATATACACACATACGTTCATTATATTTCATTATTTTTTTATTTCTGTATAAGAAATGATAAAAACATTTATAATCAATAATTTGTTAAATAGGTTGATTTACATATTTCCGAAACAAATTGATAATGAATGAAAAAATAAACGCTTATAGTTCGAAATAAAAAATTTGATTTAGAGTTTTTCGTGTTATTGACTCATTACTAAAATTTTTGATTTAAAATTATATTTGTATATCTAATTTTAATCACAACTTAACTAGCTAATAAATCTCTTAAACTGGCATAAAAATAAATTAATATTTGAATAAAACAAAGGGTTTTTTTTATAATTTAAATTAAATTTTACTGATTTAAGATTTTGTTGCGTAAGGTTCGCACAAATTCTAGAGACCTAAGGTTTCTATAAATTAATAATTTTACAAAAATTTTTGAATTAATTATTCAAAACCAGTAATTTATCTATCAATAATAAAAAATTTTGAAAAAGTTAATTTATTTTTCAACTATTTTTATGATGTAGAATTATTAAAAATTTATTGACGTTCATTTACAGAGTAACTGTGAAAACAGAATCAAAGCGGTAAGCGACAACGAAAATTGTCCGTTAACCCAGAACAAGAATTGAATGGCAAAATCAATTGAACAGTATTTCAACGGTAAAATCAAAGATCACTCCATCGGTAAAATAGGAAATTAGACTAATTCACCGCCGGTGGGGAAATTTGCGGCCGTAATTTTTCTTGATTCTGGGTAGCCCCATTAAAAATATGTGCATTCTATACATAAATTCTGATATTTTGCCGCGGAAAATCGCTCCTATTCTGTTTTCAATGTACAGTACAATGATTGTTCAATATACGGTAATAATTTTAACTATCGAATAGATTTTTTTGACAAAAATTTAAAACTTTTCGATATATATATTCCATTTTTGAGATAATTATTCCGAAAAAAATTTTTATAATGCATTTGGAGTAAATTACCCATAATGAAAATAACTATTCATATAAGAAAATTATGAGATATAAATTAGTATAATAAACTCACTAAAAATAAGTTAAATTAATTAAGTAGACGTTCGGTGTTTAAGGACCCTCTTTGCTACAAATCCTTTATCTCTTTGCTTGAATTCAATATTTATGGTTAAAAGGGTGTAAAATAAAATGTAAAGCTATTACAAAGTTAAACAGTACAAAATAAAAGGAATAATACTCGTATTTTTTGTCTGGATTAAGAAAAAAATCTGTAATAATTTTATATTTTTTTTTAATTTGCTTTACAAGATTGTGATTTATGAAAATTTTATATTTATTAATTAGGAACAAATATTACTTTATAATAGATTAAAACAATCTTCTATATTAATTAAGAATATAATCACCCTGTATAAAATATTTAATTTGTATTTCAATTCCGTAATAACCTCTATATAAATTTCAAACTAATATAAAATGTAGAAAGAAATAAAATAAAAAATGAAAAAAAAAACCCAGGGCAAAACCAGCACTTTGTACATGTTTTTCATTCGTTTTGCTTGCTTTGCTATTCAGTTGAAAAATATTTTTTTCTTGTATAACTTAAAAAATCTCAAAATATCGTATGTAGTACATAATACTAAAAATGACTCTCGACTCACTACGATACTGTGTAGGTCGACCGATTATTTTTTTTTCTTCTTTTTTTTTTGTATATGAGAAATATATTTAAAAAAGAAAAAAACGAAAAATTAAAATATTTTTATAATAAGGCAAACAACCAACACACCAAGTACTACACTCTACAAAAAATATACTCAGTGTACAACAGATCAATTTTAGTACTTTATAGAAGACTGAAATATTAATATTAACATATTTACATACCTTGATATGAACATGTATGTATATGTAAATATAGCATAATATATAAATATAACATTCAACATTTTTTATAATATAACAGAAACAACATCAGCAATAATATTGAAAAAAATTTTTATTCGTTCAAAGAAAAAACTTTGTGTATAGAAAAAAAAATATATTCACAAGAGTCAAACTGAGTATAGAGACAGGCAGGCCAGATAAAATAAAATCCAATTTTTATGTACAGAAATAAAATGTATGAGACCTTAATACCACAATTTATACTGAAATATATGAATACAATCAATATTTTTATATGTTTATAACATTATAACATTTATAATACCTTGCATGGGACGTTGTTTTTTTTTCATTTGCTTGATTTTTGTATATAACGTAAAGTGTCTTTTTACAAAGCAAAAATTTTATCTATAATATTATTATATTCGTTATACTCGTATGTACTATACCATACAGAGTTTTTAAGAACGAACGAATCGAACAAAAAGGCAATCAACAACATAATGTAGGTACATACAATAATGTTTATAAGTATTATAAATTTAGAGAAACGGAACAATATAATACTAACAGCAACAATAATATTAATATAATTATTATACATATCTGTAAATACAATCATATCACATATACACAAAATATAACATTCTATTAGTATTTCTATATATTGTTTCGTATAAGCTCTTAATAATAAACACTCTGTACTTTGGTATTAAACAGTATACTCTATTTATATAGTTAAAATATTATACTGTAGTATAAAAGTAAAGCAAAAAACCAAGCAATATAGATTTTTATTTTGTATTTCTCTTTCTTTCTTTCTTTCCTTTTTTTTGTATTTTCTTTCTTTCTTTCTCACATTATTTTTATTATATACCATGTAGTGTATAATAAATAATTGTGTATAGTATAAAATATCTGTTGTATATACACATTTTTGTTCAAGATACACAATATACTTTGAGTATATATAAATTTTTTTTTTTATATACAATACACTTTGTTGGTTAGAGTTTTCATCCAATTCAGTTTTCGAGGCCGACGATACGAACAAAAATTTATTTTCGTGTTTAGCACAAAACAAAACTAGTCGGGAATATTGGGCGCTTGTGAAAACATCTAAGTTGTAACAAAATTTCAAAAATAAAATTTTTAAATATTGTGTAAAATATTTTATAAAACAAATAAAATTCTTTGAAGAAAAATATTAAGAGAAAAAATAAATTAAATATTTGTATATTCCGTTTTCTTATTAAAAACAAAATTTTTTTATTTCATGATTTATAAAAAAAAAAAATACTAAAACAGTATAATTAATCTGTTAATTTAAACTATTATTATAAAATTTGTTGATGAATATTGAAGAGAAATAAAATAAATATATTATTTTAATAGTTGAAAATAAAGAAAAATTATTAATATTTTATTTATTACATTTAAAAAAATTATAAAAATATACCTTGGAGAATTTCTTTTTAAAACATTAAAAATATTGGAATGTTATTGAAAAAAATATATTGACGCAACCTAACTAACCCTATTATAATAATAAATTAATATTTAAATTAAAAATTTATTTAAATAGTATAAAAAAATATATGAACTAAATTTAATATAATTTAAAAAAAAATGTGATATTATTAAATAATTTCTGAGAAATAAAAACTATCTTCAAAAAAAATTTTGCTTCAAAATTTTGAATTTCAAAAAAAACTATACAACTGGGAGTTAAATTTTCTATTTGAAAAATAAATAAATCAAAAAAGAAAAAAAATTCTTAAAAATAAAAAAATAAAATAAATAAGACTTTTGGTATATAACAGAATTTAATACTGTAATATTGACATATAATTATATACATATGTATATATATAAGTATATATAACATTATTAAAATAAAATCAGTGAATAGAGCAAAAGGCGCAAAATATTTAAATGTCAAAATCTACTAACTAAACTTCAAAAATAAAATATAAAAACATTGTATGTATGAAAATTATTTTTAATGTCAAAAAAACATAAAATTTAATTAATTTAATTAATATTAAAGTAATAAATATATATAAATATATATTCATATATGTATAATTTATATAAAAAAAATATTTATATACTAAACTAAATCTATAATTCTCGTACATATATAAAAAAAAATAAAATTATTTATATGAGTGTATAAAATTCACTTTAAATATAAAAACAACAAAAAGACAAAAAAAATACAATAATTTTCTTGTATATAAAAACTGAATGTGAATGTAGTGGAAATTTTTATTTCTTTTTTTGCTTTATTTTACTGTTTTTTCTGCTTTTTTGTGTTATATTATAAAGAAACACAGAAAAAAAAGGTTACTCAACCAATTCGGTATATTAAAAGAAGCAGTCAGTCAGTCAGTCAATTTAGAGGCAGAAACTTTAATTCAATTTTAAAAAAAAAAAAATAAATATATATTATTTATAAAAAAGTTAAAGAGAGAAGAACAAAAAAAAAAACTTGAAAATTAATATTATAAAAAAGTAAAGAAAAATATGTTAAAAATGTCGACATATTATAAATTTATTCCAAATAAAAATTTACTTATATTACAACAAAAATTCAATTTTTGTATATTGTAATATACATACAAAAAAGGAGAATAATTAAATAATGATATACCTATAAAGTTTTAGTATAAATAAAATCTATGTATATATAAGAAAAACTATAAAAATAAATTTAATTTTAATAAATGAAATTCCAAAAAAATTTAAAGAAAAAAAAACAAAATGAACTAAAATAAATTTTTACAATTATGAATAACTTTAAAATATAAAAATTAATTGAAAATTTACATTAAATCAAAAAAGAAAAAAAATTTAGGAGAATCATATTATATATAAAATACACATTTTATTTTATATATAAGTTAAAAAAAAAAAGAAAAACAATATAAAAATAAGAACAAAATAATTATTATATATAAACACTTATCATAACACACAACTGTCAAAATTAGAATAATATAATAAGAAAAATAATAATAATAATAATAAAATTTTTGATATATATACACAAACATTATTTATCAAAATGTCACTTGGTATTAATTTAAGAGTAACTGGTCACAGTAATCAAGGTGGTCGAAAATATATGGAAGATTATTTTTCAGTTGCATATCAAGCATCTGAAATTGAAAAAAATAATGTTGAATATGCATATTTTGGTATTTTTGATGGACATGGTGGCTGTGAAGCAGCTAAATTTGCTAAAGATCATTTATTACGTGAAATTGTTAATAATAAATTATTTTGGTCAAAATATGATTCAGATGTATTAAGAGCAATACGTGAAGGTTATATATCAACACATTATGCTATGTGGCGTGAACAAGGTATTTATATACATACATATTTCATTATATTATAATTAAAATATTGTATAATGAAAAAAAAAATTAGTATAAATAATTTTTCTATATCCATAAAATTTTTTATTTAAAAAAAAAAAATTGAACCTATATAAAAATTTAATTAAGTAGATACAAGCAAAAGAAATAACCACAATTTTCTATTCAATATTATCTTAATTAAGCTAGAAAGAGATAACTATATATGCTCGCCTAATATATATTATACTGCATACACACAAATATATATATAAAACATATATCTGCATCTACATTATCCCATCCTTCAAAATATACTTTTACAGTTTTAAATACACTGTTATATGATTAGAGAAAAAAAATTAGAACGAAAAAAAAACTTTTATACTTCAACCAGATATACGTTATGCCAATATAAATTAGATTTTTTACGTCGCAATATTAAAAATGAAATAATGGGAACAGAAGATTTTTTTTTTTTTTTATTATATAAAAAGAAACTCTTTTTAAATAACTTCATTTGAATAAAAATATTTTATACCTACTATATATTTTTATAATACTTATAATTTTTTTTTTGAAATAATTAAATATTAAATAATGTTAAGATAATTTAATATTTAATGAATTTGTTAATTTATTATAATTATTATATTAATTTAATTAATTAAAATATTTAGGTATATTAATAATAAAATTTTTATTAAGAAAAATTTATTTAATTCTAATATTTTATTAGTATTATATTAATATTAAATTGAAAATATTAAAACGGATAAAATATTAGGTAAAATTAAAAATTAATATAAATTTTCTATAAATATTTCTCATAATTTTGAGAGAACTATAATATATAAATTTCAGTTATACTATAAAATATTTAATTTTAAATATATATAAATTTATTTTAATAAAAATTCTAATATTTGAAGAACTAAATAGTTTACGATTGTATAAAAATTAAATATTTAATTAAATTTTAAAATTAAATTATCGATATTTTTCATAATTTACAAAATAGCTTTAACTTGAGCTTTTTCTGAACTTTTTTAAAACATTTTTACTATATACATTTCTAGTGTGTGAGTAATATTTTTCTGTATATCGTTGGGAAAAGTATTATAAGATATTTAATACTGAATGTAATACAATGTTGCCAAATTATATTTTTATGTTGAAGATATATTTTTTTAATACGAGTAAACACACAAATAAGACTTTTAGGAAATCCGTACCAATAGAAATTACGAAAAATATTATAGATACATTAAAGAGAAAATTATATTTTTTTTGCTACCAAATAATATTGTCGCTATATAGATTATTTTTATAAAAAAAATCAAATTAATTAAATGATTAATTTACATATTATGTGTATAGAATCTAATAAAATTAAGTTCATATGCGGAACATTGTTTAAAGTGTATTAATTTATTATATCCGCAAGAAATATTATAATTTTTGTTTTTTCTTTAATTTTTAAAAATGATATTCTGTTTAACTTACCTTTATAGTATATTTTTATTAGAATGCTGATAAATTGACATAACTCTGAACTTATACAATCAGCAAAAATTATATACAATATCCGTAATTATTATATCGGTACAGTTAATTCTAGGTATCAATATCCTTAAAAGCAATATTCTTTCAATTTTACGTTACATTATTTTTAAAACCCTAAAAAGAATTTTAATAACTTTATTAAATAAAAAATTTATGACTAAGTTTAAATACCATACCTGTTTAGTCTTTTAAATTTTAGCTTTCAATTTAAAATAGATGATAATATTTTTTTATAAGAAATAAAAAATACAATTTAATTATCAAAACCAATTTTGTGCTGTCGGTTTTCTTGGTGTAATATTCAATTCAATGGATAATCTTTTCTTCTATATATTTGTAAATGAAATACTTTCTAAAGAACAGATAATCCAAAAATGCAGAGTTCCGATTATATTGGTTGTAATTGAATTTGTAAAATATTCCCTTAAGTACACTTTTCCATTCTATTCGATAAAATTTATTAATTGCATATTTATAAAGATAAAGTTGTGTTGTAGGATTTGATATTTTGCCGCATTCTTGCATGTTGTTGTTTGCTGATATTAATTTTATTCATCTGGACACCTACTTGTGGGTAATATAGGTTGTTTCAAATTTGTTGAGGCTTTTTTCTGAACAGTTAAGAGCAATATAAATTTGAGATCGGTTGAAATTTTTAATGTGTGCCACCTTAATAAGAGCAAACATAAAGTTGTGTTGCAGTACTTGATATTTTGCTGCATTCTCGTATATTGATTGCTGATATTAATTTTATTCATTTGAAACTACTTGTTGGTAATATAAGCTGTTTCAACTTTGTTGAGGCCCATTTCTGAACAGTTAGAAGCAAGATAAATTTGAAATCGTTTGAAATTTTTAATGAGTGCCAAAATAATAAGGGCACACATAAAGTTCTGATGTATTACTTGATATTTTACTACATTCTTGAATGTTGATTGCTGACATTAGTTTTATTCACCTGAAACTGTTTGTTAGTAAAACAAGACGTTATTTGCTTGAAGTTATTTTAAATTCATCAGTTTTTTGTGAAAGCAGCATTTAAAGAAGGCTTAAAACAAGGTGCTACGTTCTTCTTCTTTAGTTACTGCTCTAACTTAGACATGGTTTTCTTTTCTTTTTTGCAGAATTTACAGTTACTAAATATTAATGTTAATTGTCCTTCATTATTTATATTATTTATTAGCATTACTTTTCTCTATTCTTTCTTTTTTCTTCTCGTTTTGATAAATTATGGTGAATTAACGTTTAATAACTGAAAAAATAAAATGTTTTTTTTTTGTCATTTCAAAAATAGTTGAATTAAGGAATATTTTGACATAACAGTTTGAGCATTATAGGCACGTATATTAAGATTAAGTTGCATTATAATATTTGATTCATTCTCTTCTAAAATAAATACTTTTGATATTGTTAATTTCTCTTATAAGTGCGATTTCTGATGATTTTTACCTAAAATGAAAAAAAAATACTTAATTAATATTTTTTTTATACAATATATTAATTAGATTTAAAATTACAAAATCATATGCATGTATTTAAAATGAAATATTTTCGAAAACCAATAATTTATTAGTCCGTTAACAGAATTAATCTCAATTTAAATTTATTAAATTTTAACTGTTAAAAATGCAGAGATTCTCAAATGTTAAATATAATTTAATGATATTTTCACTGTCCTTTACAATAATGTCCAATCAATATTCATTTGATCTCGTCTGTCAATTTAAATTGTTTTTTACTTTTAACTTCAATTCATTTTAAAGAATGAGTTTTCGTAAGTTTTAAATTTGCAATAACAGTAATGCAATTCATACAGTTTAAGTGTAATATGTCAAAAATGATATCAACATTAATAAAATTTTCTTATTTATTAAGAAAAAGAAAAACAATCAAAATAGAAATTTTTTAAGGAGATTGTTTTTATTTTATACTTTAGTATATTGCAATGGCTTGTACATGGGTAGTATGAGTATATATACACATGTATATCTATAGATTTGTTTATAGTAAGTGTTTGACTGAAATTTTGTGTGGTAATTGACAATTTGTTATTTTATTTCGTTTTGTTTTTCTTATTTTTTTTTTAGTGTTTCTTTTTTTTGTTATTATTTCGCTTCAATACCCTTACATGAACTCTTCTAATAAATTGAGTTTTGTTTATATTGTCATTTTTTTTTCGTGTTTTTATATAAAATATATATATATATATATATATATATATAAATATGTACATAATTTTTTTTTTTGACTTCTTCTTATATACTTTTAAGAAAAACGCACATGTTTATAAGATGATGATGATGATAATAATAATATTTATATTATTGATATTGATTGATGAGAATAATATATAAAAGTATATAAAATAAAATATTCGCTTATATACAATAAGTGGTTGTGCTGTGAACAAATTTTACATTGCATAAAAAAAGGAAGAATATTAAAAAGAAAATCACCATTTATGCATGAACACATGTACATGGACATATGTATGTATAAACCTGAGAAATATTTTTCTTTTTATCAAAATAATCAAAATATTTATATGTGCTTTCTACAATATGTATATAAGAAGTAAAACTAATTATTTGCAATTCGCGAAATCTACATCAATATACAATCGAAATTTTGTTTACATTTTTTTAATTCGTTTTTATTTAAGTATAATATTGGAATGCATTTTATTAGAATCAAATTTCCGAAATTCATAATATGAATTTTTCTCACTAGTGTAGGTGTATATACCTATACCCATACGATTTTATCTATATTTTAAATATTCATATTTCTAAATAATCACAAATATTAATTTTTTTTTTGAAAAGGAAATACGATTTTAATAAATTTGCACAACTAATCAATTTATTTTCCTTGGAGAGATTTTTTTTTAAATTCAAATTTATTTTATGATTACCTAATGAACCACGATAATAATATGCTACACTTTGATTAATTATAGCCCTGATATCTGAACACAAGTATTACAAATCTAATTATGTAATAGGTATACAACCTACCCAAAATATTAACTAACGTTAATAAAAATTCGAGCTTTTACCTTATGTGAACGTAAACTTCAATATGACATGACAAACTCAGTTCAACGTGGACTAAGATTTTTAATATTCTTTTTGTTGAAAATTGTAAATGTGATAGAAAAAATTTTAATTTTACATTTTTTTATTTTGCAACATCAATTTGTTTATCCGAAAATATCTTGACACCTAAAGTGTTTTGTGTATATTTTATAATATCAATATGAAAAATATGATCTGACAAATATTTCAAAGATTTTTTTGTTAAAAATTATCGGAATGGTAAAAACGATATTTTGTATTACTAATGTCAATAATTTTATAAATTTTACAATCTGTCAAATTGTTTTGAAAACGCATTGTGTCAGACCGAAATTTTATCGGGAGAAATCTTATACAACCAATACTTTTTTTCAAAAACTACTTTGTAAAATAATTGATTATGTTCTTAATTTTATAATATTTTAATCAGTTTAAAAATAAAAAGTTCAAAATTAAAATGAAATGAATTTACTTTTTCTTCTTTTTTTATAGAAAAATGGCCAAAAACTGCTACAGGCTTACCTAGTACAGCTGGGACAACAGCAAGTGTTGCATTTATCTTTAGGAAAAAAATTTATATAGGTCATGTAGGTGATTCTGGAATTGTGTTAGGATATCAAGAAGATGGAGAAAAATGTTGGAAAGCGAAACCATTAACACAAGATCATAAACCAGAATGTAATGTAGAAAAAGCTCGAATTATTAATGCAGGCGGTAAAGTTGTTACAAAATCTGGAGTGCCAAGAGTGGTATGGAATCGTCCAAGAATAGGTCATAAAGGTCCAGTACGTCGAAGTACACCATTTGATGAAATTCCATTTCTTGCTGTAGCTAGAAGTTTAGGCGATTTATGGAGTTATAATTCAGCTTTAAATTTATTTATTGTTAGCCCGGAACCAGATGTCCGAGTTATTAAAATTGATTCAAAAACATTTAGGTAAAAATTTCATTTATTATAATTTATAAAAAATCCAAAATTAAAATTTTTTCTTTCTAATTTTTTAGATGTTTAGTATTTGGTACTGATGGTTTGTGGAACGTAGTAACACCAGATCAAGCTGTTGATATGGCACGTGATGCAGAAATAGTTAATGAACGTTTAATGTTTATGGGTGGTAATAGTAGTGAATGGACAAATCCAAGTAAATTTTTAGTAGAAAAAGCATTAGAAAGATGGAGTGTAAGGCGAATGAGAGCTGATAACACATCTGTAATAACAGTATTCTTAGATCAACCAGGTCAACCAAAGAAAAGTGTCACTGGTAATAATAATGGTATTATTGATCGTTGGAGTAATACAACTAGATATGAACTAAAATATGAAATGGAAAATGAATATAATCCTGAACATGTAATATATAATCGATACAATGAGATGGATTCGAATGATGTACTATCAAGTTGTCATACAGAAAATCAACAAGACTATTATTATGATCAGTATGGAGCATCATCTTCTACATCTATAATGGACAGAGAACATATTTTAAGTTCGTCCGGACATGAAATTAATGGTAATGAAGTTAATAATGATTGCTATTCTATGAACTCATTACAATATTCACCAACATCAAATAACAATGATAATCCGGATATTAATACAATGAACGGTTTATTTACTATCACTGAAAGCTATGACAAAAATATGGAAGGTGGTTATGCATTTTATGAAAGTACGATTGGTTTAGAAAACAGTGCAGTGCAAACCTTTAAGTATCATAACACATCAAGTTGTGATGCTATTGGAGAAGATGATTCATTTATAATGCATAACAATACAGCTGTAATAGCGTCGACGGCAAATATATCAGCGCTGGAATCAAGTTTTGATTTAACACATCAACTAGATGAAACCGCAATTACAGCACACCAACAAAGTTTAAATACTATTGATCCTTTAACCATAGATAATCACCAACATACAACAAATGTGGAAGTCCACAACGACAGTTCAAATTATAGTCATAGCTTTGCAGAATCGTATAATTCACTTTTAATATCAAGTCTGGAAAGTGACAATAGCAGTAGCAATAGTAGTAACAGTAGTAGTTGTAGTAATAACAGTAACAGCAGCAACAGTAATTGTAGCAGTAATAGTGATTCAAGTGGTGATGAAGAATTTTATGATGGACTTCATCATAGCTACAAAAGTCTTAATGAAACAGGTTTAGCTGGTCATGATCGAGTATTTCATCATTCTCCAAATAGTAGTAATGAGGAACAACAAGAGCAATATCAAAAAGCTTGTATGTTACGTGAAGATGGTTACAGTTTAACTAAACTGGAAACAAGAGTTGAACAAAGATTGCGAAGTAATTACCAAAACAATAGCAATAATATAAAGAACGACAGAGGCAATGATACTTGTAATAATTATAACAATAATGATAATAATAAGAGTAACAATATTAATATAAATAATGATAATGGTACCTATAATAGTAATAATATTACCAACAAAGATAATAGTAATAATAACAATAACAATACTAAGAATAATAACAATAAAGATAAAAATTATATAAATGGCAATATCAAAGATATTACAGAAAACGATACCTATTGTAATAACAATAATATCACAAATGATAATTGTTCTTATAATAATAACTCTAATAACAAACTAAATGACACTAACATATTTAACAACAATATCGGTCGCAAAAACCATAATGATAATAATGATAATAATAATAATAATAGAAATAGTAATAATGAAGATAGAAATGGTAGTAATAAAATTGGTGATATTGATAATTATGGTGATAACAATAGTAATAGTAGCGATGGCAATAGCATTGACATTTACAGTAGTAGTAGTAGCTGCAGCGATGTTGACAACAAGAACGATGACCATTTCTTATATGAAGAACTTCAACAACCACAAACCAGTCAAAAACAAAAACATATTAGTATTGAAACATTCCCAACTTTTACTGAATTAAGTACAGAAATAAATAATTATAACCAATATGATAGTATTACTAGTAGTTATTCAATAAATAATGATGATAGCAAAAGTAATTTTATTAGCTCAAATAATTTTGAAAGTAATTTAGAATGTAACAGTTTAAACATTAGTAATTCAGATATCGAATTATCAAATCATGCAAATCAAATTTTAAACATAACATCAAATAATTTTACTTCAGTGGAATCAAGTGACGACATTAGTCTAAATCCAATCATAGAAATGGAAACAGAAGTTCTAGATGAAGAAATTGAAGATATTGAAAGTTTAAGTTGTAATCAAAATATTGAAACGAGTTCGAAAGATATAGAAACTTCCACATCTCGAACTACGGAATATTTACTAGAGGAAAGTATACAAATAAATGAAATATCATCAAGTAATATTGAAATAAATTCACCTATTCCGTCACCATCATCAAATAATTTTATACTAGAAAAGCTTGAAATTGAACCAACAAATTTTGATTCTATTGACAGCAACGAAATGGAATTAGAAAAATCTACATTTAATTTGAAAACAATAACAAACAATAAATTAAAAAATAATAATGATAAGAACAATAATAAATTTAATAATAATTTAAATAAAAATAATATAAAAACGAAAATATTAAAATTAAATTGTAAAACATCATTTCCACCTGACAAACAAAATGAAAATGAAAATAATACATTAAATTATATTAGAAGATCATTACGATCATCTAATAATAATAATCTTCACATTAATTACAATACCATTAAAAAGAATACTATTAATAATAACAATCGAAGAAATAATAATAATTCATTATCCAAAGATATGAAAGCCAAAAAAATTTTAAATAAAAACAAACCTTCAAATAGTAATTTAACAAAAACAATTGTTACAAAGGAGTTTATAAAAATAGTTCATGATTCTACAAATTCAATTCCGAAAAATAATACCAATATAATTTTAGCTAAATTAAGATCTCGGCCCAATAATAATAGCAGCAATAGTAATAATAACGATAATAATAATAACAATAACATTAATATTAACCATAATATTAATAATCGTGCTAATAATAATAATAAAAACAATTATAATGATAGTATTCGTAACAGTTCACAGCCATCTCAATCATCTGAAAATTTAATACAAACAACCGAAAAGGTGACGGTTTGGTCAAAAAGATCTCGTAGAATAATTCAAGCAATAAGTAATAACAACAATTGTAAACCAAATCAGAAATTAAATAAAGCTTTATGTACAAATAATACTGCAAACAAAAACATATGTAATAATAATAATAATAATTCATCATCATCAGTTATAACAAGTAGTAGTAATAATTTTAATAATAATAATTCAAATTCAAAAATTTCTACAAATTATCGATTCCAAAATAATCCTAATTCAAATCATAAAATCCAACATCAACAAAATAATTCAATATCTTCAGTTAGTTCGACAACATCATCATTATCATCATCACCAAAAACCACTACAACAAATTATATATCAACAAAACGTTCATCAACCTCACGTAATAGTGCCTGGTGTCCTAACAAAAAATCAGTTCAAACAAGAAATCGAGTACAAAAACGCTAAATTAATGAACTAAATTAACAAAAAAAAACTTTTAAGATCTAAAAAAAAAAAATTAAAAACAAAAACTTATTTAATCATAAGAATTAAAAATTAATAATTTAAAAATTAATAAAATAAGAGAAAAATTTTAAAATTTCATTGATTTTATTTATATTTTATATTTAAGTTCTAAATTAAACATGAATTGAATTTGTAATATAACAAAAAATTAAAATATTACAAGAATAAATTAATTATTTAAAAATGAAATTTTAAAATTATATGAAAACAAAGAAAAACCATAACTGTGAATATTAAAAATTTTAAATTTTAAGAATTATAAAAATTTTCTTTTTTATTAAATTAAATATTATTAAAAAAAATGTAAAACTAAAGCACATTGTTGTTGTGTTTAATTTAATGTATTATTATGTTTAATGTTCAAATTCAATTACTATTAAAATACATATACATAATATGTATATATAGATTTATAAATTATATTAATATAAATTAAAAAAAAAATTTAAGTTATAATTATATTAATGATTAAAATTATATTTAAATGTAGAGAAATCATTGTACATTAAAAAAAATGGAAAATATTTTTTTGTAGGAAAAAAAACGAAAAATTTAAAAGTTAAAAAAAATAATTATTAAGGGATAAAAAGATTTTAATAGTAAAATTATAAAAATTTTTATTTTATTGAAGGACAAAAATTTATAAAAAGGAGAGAAAAAAATTTATATAAAGGAGATATAAAAAAAAAAAACAGTAATGAACACAAAAATATTAAAAAATTTTAATTACCAATTCTATTGTTTCATTTAAGTCTCTTATTTATTTCAGTCATACACATTTATATTAGAGCAAAGAATTATAGATTACATCTCAGTTGCCTACATTATTGTTGTCTTTTTTGGTCTACAATTATTGAGGAACTATTGAATTCAACACTTAGCAATTTTTACAATCATTATGTTAAATAAAAACTTGCAAAACTTTCCGTATATCTTGAAATTAGCAATTTGACCATAGAATATTCATGCGATTTTCACACCTATTTATGCCACATTAGTGACAAGTTAGAAAAGCATAGAAATAAACAAATCAAGCTTTTAATAATATTTAAACTTTGGTTCAACAAAAAATTTTATGCAATTTAAAATATACATGTGTACGTATGTACTCGTACGTTGATCTGATTATATAAAACAAAGTAAAACATCTTATTTTCAACAAATGGATAAAATGTTTGTGTCAGAATTCAATTCGATCAAACTAAACAAGGCTAAATTTAAAAATTGTCAAGGCAAAATACTGAACTTAGCTGTTGAATTAAGGTCATGCTATGGAATTCGATTTTCATATTTGCAGAAATAAGAAGGTAAATTAATTTTTCCGAATACGAAAATCCAATTACATAATAAGGTTCCTGATATTATAATTAAAATGTTTAAAAGATAAGTAAATACATTACCTTTATAGAATAAACTATTATAAAAAAAAAACAAAAACATGGCTTAAACTTTGAATTTTAAAGGATGCTTGAGACCATACATTACATGCATATAATTGTAAATCTTTCACACACTACATTTTTTGCATATTCTTCACATTTGTATTCCAAAATATTAAATTTTTAATAATGTTACTTCTAAAAATTCTACCTTTGACACGCTTTGAATTAGAGTATTGTAGAATCGAACTGATTTCTACAATACTGTAATTTTAAAAAAAAAAAATATTTGTTTTGTAATGCAAAATATATCAAAATACTTTTCTTATAAGAGAATTTAATACAAATACATCTATACGATCAAAGATTATAACACGTTTGGAAAAATTTCCAACTACAATGTACTACCTCATTTTACTACTAATTTACAAGGAAAACATGTCAACACAAATTTTGAAATCACAAATGTCATTACTTTTTAGTATTATTTTGACAGATTAACACAAGGATTTACTTTTTAAGCCGAATACTGTCTTATATAAAATTATTTACAAATTTTGTTATTTATGTGAAATAAAACGCGTTATAAAAATACAAAAGACACATAATCAAAGCTTCATTTTAAATTAGACATACATATGTAATTAAAAATCATACGAAAAAACGTTTCTTAAAAGTTAGATGATGTCTTTTATTAAATCTTTGATTAATCTTTCACGAATTCAAACGAAGCAGTTTCACACCTCTGTCCCATGTAGTGAAATAAGAAAACTAGCACGGCTTCGTGTAGTGGATAACAGCGAAATTGGGAAAGCAGCAATGGCTGAAGGTAAACCTCCTCGATGTATTCACATTTATAATAAGCGAAGTGTTGGACATGTTGGTGACAAAGTTCTTGTGGCTATAAAAGGACAAATGAAAAAAGGAATTTTAGTAGGATGCAAACAAAACCAAGCACCTAAAAGACCAAAATTTGATAGCAATAACGTTGTGTTAATAGATGATAATGGTACTCCATTGGGCACAAGAATACACGTTCCTATACCAACTACATTAAGAAAAATTTTGAAAGAAAAAAATGTTGTTAAAGGAGCTGATTACACAAAAATATTAGCAATCGCAACACGATTTGTGTAACTTATTACAAATTCTATGTTTTTTAATTTATAAATCAAAATATGTATACATATACAGGTATAAATAAATTGTATTGAAAATATATTTCGTTACTCACTTTATTTCTAAATGCTATTTTCTTTTCCATTTTAAGGACATCTTTTAAATTGTTTGTCGCTTCGCAGGCCCACCATTTTCTTCATCTTCATTGTCACTCATAGCATCACGTTTTCTCTTTTTAGCATATTCTTGTACTAATCCGCTAGCAGAAATACTAGAAGTTTTGAATTGAAGCCAATCTTTAAACTAAACATAAAATAAAGACATATTAATTTGTATGAATAATTTATCATAGTATCACCATAGTATTTGTACGAACTCCTTGATCATATAAACCATTTTCTAGTGTTTCTAATTTAAGTTCAGGCTTTTCGTCTACTGTTGTGCTTTTACAAATTTCCAACAAATGTTGAACTCTTTGACGCATACTCTCGAAAACAATTTTCCCGACAATATGATTTCTATCATAAGGTGTTATATGTCTCCCATATTCGTAAAAATATTGATGTAATTTTCCCAATTCTATATTTGTAGCATCAGCTTCACACACCGCTTTATGGACGTTTTTGTAAATTTCTGGTACTTGAACACTAACATAAAATTTTTTTTTGTAATTAAAAAAATAAATTTGAGTATTTTTCATACTACTTATGAGCCTACTACGTGTATTTATATTATGATTCTATTAATACAAATGTACACGCAAAAATTTAAAAAATATAATGGAATTTACCTAAAATATGGATTATTTGGTTTTAGTTCTTTTAAATACCATAAGGGTAAATTAACACTTTTTCCTGGCTCTAAATCACTAGTTTCAGATCCTGGATCAAGAAATCCTAAAATTTAAAACAAAAATTTAGACTTCTTAAACTTGAAAAATATATTTAATGCTTTCTTACCCATTTTTAAAAGTTTTGTATTAACATTACAAGGCACTCTTTCGTGAGTTACTAAAATATCATCAACCGAATAGTAATTTGGATAATAACTCATTTTCTATAATTTTATCTTGCTGTAACCATAACCATTTGTTCAAATTTGTATTAACAATATTTTAATATTTTTTAAAAACGAGAAAAAACTACACGCAAAATTAATAAAAAACGGAAAAGAAATAATAATAAAACCCGCCAAAATGAAAACATTCAACAGCTGAGCGTACTTTTGTATTAAAAAGGTCAGTGCTGCCATTTTTAATTGCCATGGAAACTTCACAATTGCATTCTAATTCACAATATTATGTATGGTCAATGGTTCCTTTTCTTTATTAATTTCAAACATTCAGGACGGAAATATCCTAAAATTGTTTTTTTATCTATTCCATATTTGCAGAAAATGTACTCTACTCTCCGTTATTTTATTTTATTCCAAATATTCGGAAAGTATTCTTTTTATTCCGAATGATTTTTAAAATAATAAAGTATTTTTCTTACGGGTTAAGTGAAAATTTCATTTATTTTATGTCTTGTTACTTTATTTTTTCATTCCAAATGTTCTTCTTTAGAAGCAATAAAATGAAACAAATGCTTAAATTTCAAAAGATTCCAATATTCGAAAAATCTGACGGATGCCGAAAGACATATTTTAACTTTTCATGTTATTGTGAATCACGTTTTTTTATAATATTGAAATATTCAATTCTCAATTTTTGTCACAACTTTACTATAATGTCAAACTAACGGGATTTAAATAATATAAATTAAAACTTCAGTCCAGCGATAATACAGTGATTAATTATAATAATTAAAAAGTAATTGTGGTTTACATTATTATATAATTAAATATTTTATCTAAATATGGTCGTTGTATATTATTTTTTAAATTATACAAGTAATATTCATTATGTATAGCATTCGATTTCATCAATTGTTACATGTAAATTCAAAACATTACTGAGCTTGCACATTATTAAAAACCCAAATGCACAAGCATAATTGTTGCTAATTATACCATAAGGCAGTATTCAACGTAATTTGTAAAAGTAATAACGTTAAATATTTACATATATATGCATATGCAAACATCAAATACTACACAAGTATACTAAATCATTTTTTAGAATGACGTTTGCAGAAATTTTGAAACGTTCAACCAGTACCAATCAAACTGGATTTAAAATGGGCAAACACAAAATCAGGTGAAAAGAATGATTAACGAGCTTATTTTATTATTTGATTTATTTCTGTTTATTTTTCAATTTAATCTTTTATTTTTTTAATATTATTTTAGTTAATTATATTCATTTGGAAAATTGGCATAAACATAATGGTATAATTGTTATTTTGATGCTTGAATTCAATTTATTATTTGAAAACTTTGAAATTTTCTGTTTTCATTATTAATCTAGTTGATCTGAAATCATAACATAAAATATTTGAACTATTGTACCTACTACTATTATACCTAATACATACCTACGTATTTCAAGAAAATTTTAATTAGTTAGATATTTTGGTATTTTGCTTAAAAATTTAAATGCCAACATTATTAATTATTATGAATTTTAGCCGCTAAAGAATACTATATTCATACATAGAATATTATTTTAAAATTTCAAATTTAATTGTAAAAATTAAATTAAAATTATTAGGAAATGAAACCATCATAAATTGAAAAAAATTATATTCTTACAATACATACATTATGTAGATACATATTTGTAAATAGTTTACATATATATGTATATATACAAACACAATACAAAGTGCATACAATATTAATTTATTGTAATAAACAAATCAACAGAAAATGCAATCATACATGAATAACAAAATATATACCAATTTTTTATTATCCTCTTATTTTAATTATAATTATTCTTGTTTTTTTTTTTTTGGTTCGCAGAAATAAGAACAGTGTCTGAATTTTATTTTTTATATTTTTTTTTTATTAAATCAACTTCTCTATAGTCAACGATTCATTGAATGAAATTTTTAATATGAAAATTATAACAGCAGTACAATGCGCAAGTCTTGAAATTGCTTTTCTTTTTTTTGCAGTTCTGAATTAAAAAAATTTTCATATATTTTTTTTTCAGGTATTCATCAGCACAATTTTTCTTCACAAGAATAATTTTTTTCGTTCTAAAACGAATTTTTTAGTTATTAGTTAAATATCCTTTATATTGTTAAATACATTTATCGTTGAAAAAATTTTTCTTGCGGCTATATAAAATAAAAAAAAAAATAAAATTTTAATAAAATAAAATATAAAATCTAAAGAAATGAAATTTTAAATATAAAATATAAGAAAAATTTCTTAATTATAAGAGAAGAAAAAAATAAAAAGAATAAATGTAATCAGTTGGTTTTTTTTTGTTTCGCAATCAAATTGGGGAAAAATTTTAAATTGAAAATATTATACATTTTATAACAAAAAAAAAAATAATAATAAAAATTAGAAAAAAAATAAAAAAAAAAACTTCTAGGTTTTCTTGAATTTTAGAGAATTTTTTTTTAATATTCTTCTTGTATATGCAGAAGACGTGTACCGGGTTGTATAAGAAAATTTAAAATTTTTCTGTTTCTTTTTTAGTTATTATTTTTTATAAAATGAAAAATCTATAAAAACAAAAAAACCAAAAAAAAAAAAATAACATAAAATATAAAAAAGAATTTTAATTCTTGATTACAAAAAAAAAAAATTAAAAATAAATTATAAAAATTTTTAAAAGTTCTTAAATCTTTCAAAGTAAAAAATTTGAAAAAATTAATTTAGTCAATCAATATTGGTAATTATTAAAAATTTTATATTAAAAAAGAAAAAAAAAATTGAAGAAAGGAATTAAATTCCATATTTCATTTTCAAAAAAAAAAGGCAAAAAAAATTAAAGAAAAGGACTTTGAAAATATTAAGTTTTTTTGAAAAAATAATGTCCGGTAGCAATTCTAATTCCGTTATTTGTGAGGAAGTATTTTTTGATGGATATCAGCCTTCTACGGACGGTAAGTTTATTGAATTTTTTTCAATATAATACACTATACTTTAAAATATTTAAGACATATTAATTTTTCCTCAAAATTTATTTTATTTAAAATCAATATCTAAAACAAATTCCAACTTCAACTTATTTTAATATTATACATATGTATATATTTTATGCGTATAAACAGATATTTTAAAAAAATTTGTATAAGTATGTACATTTGTTTAGGCAAAAATATTATTATGAGCGTTGCCTATGACACAAGAATTTTTATTAAAAATCTATATAAATATTTAATGCGTCTTAGGTATAAATTAAAGTATAATGAAATTTAAATATATATTCATAAATATATTAATATATTAAATGTTATTATATATATATATTACGACAAAACTGAAATTTAATTAATTTTATAATAATGTACGTACTGTAAAATTGTAGGAATTAATAAAAACCATATTGGAATTAATAAAAATGTGAGAAAATATAAAAATATTAATATTTCTGACTTAAGTGTATAACATCAATAATATATTTAGTAATACTTTTAATTCATCTTCAATTTTTTTTATATACTATATATATAAGTATAATATGCTAGCAAATATAACAGTAAAATATAACAGTAAATCTTAAATTAATGAAAATCATGTATTATGTATATATATATACATAAATTCTAAATTCTACATACAAATAATATATGAAATAACAAAATTTTATTTGCTATTCTATTTCAATGGTTTTCACTAAGTATTATTCATTTAATTACTTATTTAATTCTAAGTTTTAAATTATATCCCACTATGTATATAACATCTCATTTAATAAATTAAAAATTATATACATATACTTTTAATATTTTATTATTAAGAGCAAATATTTTTGTATTATATATATATACGAGTATAAATATTTCACATTATTATATTTTTAAAGTAGTTTATAAATTATAATGTGGATATTACCATATAACAAATCTTTTTACATTACAATGGTCAAGGAATCCAATTTACATTTCATATCAACACATCTACGAGTATATATCAACACATAAGTATATCAACACATTTATATAGGTACATATGCATATGTTATTTCTCACAAAGCTATATACAAACAATAATTATTATATTTTGTTGACCTCTACAGAATATGTAATATTACAAAAAGTGCAATTAAGTAATTAAATTAAAAAATAAATATATTTTCTATTAATTGTAATATTTTAAAAATTTTTTTCGTCTAATTAAAATAATTGAGCAGGTGCAAGAAACAAAAAGGCATTAGAAAATCCTTTATTATACACGAATATATATAAAATATTATTTAATTTATTCATTAAAATTTTTAATTGAAAATTCTTTTGTAATTAAATTATTATAATTTCAAAAATAAACAAATTCAATTTTTATTATTTTTAATAATGTAATTATAACAATACAAAATCTCTTTAAGAAAATAAATTTTAAATCCTTATACAATGTATATGGAAATTATTCGAAATTTTAATTAAATCCTATTATAATTTCCGAAAATTCATTGATAATATTGGAAATTTATAAAATTATTAATAATTTTTTTTTTAATTTCTGAAAATTATTGTATTATTTTGATAGCAGTGCTATTTTTCTGTTATATTAATTATTACTGTTACATTTATCATATATTTTATAAATACAACTTAAATTTTATATATGGAAACACATTTGTATTAACATGATTTGTATATGTATATGTAGATATTTTAAAATGACTGCAACACGCAAAACATAGGGCTATCACAACATTATTTTAACCTGCTGAATTCATTAAATTTTTTCCCTTATTTCACTTATTTTTTTTTTTAATTTATATGTTTTTTTAAGGACCTATACAATTTCGTAAGTTCTATATTTACACTTTTCTTATCATCATATTATATTTGAATGAGTTTTTCATATTTTCGTGTAAATTTTTCGATATTTTCTTTTTTTTTATTTGTTTCTTCTTCACTCATACATATGTATGTGTATAGAAATATTCTGTGACATATTAAAAAAAATGAAGAGGTTTTATTATAATATATAGAGAGATCCTTTAGAAATTCATAAATGCATACAATATCATTGCCGTATAGATATGTGCCTATATAAATGTGTCTATATAAGCAGTATTTTTCTTAAGGATATTTTTAAACTTTACTTTTTTGACTTACAAATTTTGTGTGTTGGGATTTTCGTTTTTTTTTTTTGTAAATTTTTCAAATTATTGTTATATTTTTTTTCGTTTTATTTCTCGTTTATGTAAATGATATTTTTATAAGAAAAAATTTTATATGAATATTTTTTATATTATATACCTTATACAAGGTATATAAAATGTATAATTTCTTTTATATTGATGTCTATACAAAATTTGATATATATATATATATGTAGATAGGTGACAGCAATATAAATATTATACATGCATATGTGTACACATATATGTACATACATGTTTCATATATATTCAAAAAAACAGTATATGTGAAGCTATATTTGAACAAAGAGATATTAAAGTCAGAAGAAAGAAACATACATTCGTACATACATACATATATGAATGTATGTACATATGTGTATACAAACATTTTTATTTTTACGTTTTTTTTTATAATTTTTATTATTTTTGAATGCGGTTTTCATGCTGCGAGCAAAATTTTCATACAATATTGACCTAAAAAAGAAAAAATTTTTTTCATATTTTTTTTTTTTTGAAATCTAGGATAAATTCAAAAATTTGTATTATTTTTAATTATTATATGAAATATGTATATCATATGAAATATTATGTATAAAAATATTCAAAAATAAAATAGAAAATTATTTTATTATTTAGTTTTTAGAATATAGAAGGAAATTTCTTTATATTTAATTTCATATTATCTATAATTTGCAAAATATATACAAAACAAATAAGTTATTGGTTCATTCAATTTAATATTTCAAAAAAATTGAGTAATTATTTAATGAAGATTAATTAAAATATTTTAAATTATACATTCTATATTCTATATAAATATAATATAACATATGTATATACCTACTTCTATATAATATATAATATGCATTCATGAACAATAAACTGTTATATCGACTTACATATTATAACCTAGTATTCTATATTTAAATTATAAATATTGTATACATAATCTGTACTTACATTACATTGTATAAGGGATATATAAGTATGGTCACCTTTTATCCTATAAATATACAAATGTGTATACGTCGTATATCTACATACATGGATGTGTATATCTTTATATAAATGAAAAATCAATGTTTCAATATTTTTCTATCAAATTTACTTAAATGTCACGAATATTTTTTTGAAATCAAAATATGTACATATATGTAAATCATTTTTTTTCCCATATCCAAAACAGTCATATACGTTACTATGTATTTACTGTTACTATTTATATGTATATATAACTTACATTTTAGCAATAGAATATTGTAGATATGGTAATATTTCTTGAAATATACTTTGTTATAAACATTTTTATAATACATATATGTACTTGAATGTGTGAATGTTTCTCTATATATGTAGAGAGATTAATAAGGATAAAGGATATTCTATCTATCTACATTAAAAAAAATTTTTTTCTTTTATATTATAATAATCAATTTGAAAAGAAAAATAAATAAAAAAAAAACAAAACTCCTTACTTTATCATAATTCTTTATTCATATTATGTATAGGTTATGCTTTAAAAGGCCTGCTTGTATTTATATGTATATACAGTTAACATAAAATATATGTAACATATGTTGATATATATAAGATTGTGTGTCAACATGATGTACATATATATATATACATGCGTACATATATAAATTGAATGATTATATTGAATTCGACCTTGAGAAAATTTTATATTCAAAAATTTTGAGATGTACAGAGAATTTATACGAGTCCTATACTAATATATTGATAAAAAACCATGGGGAAAAATAACATACAAACATATGTATATGTATTTTATATCACATGTTATATTAAGTATATGCATATGTAAGCATATGTATATGTTTATATTATATAAGAAGTAAATAAAAAAAATGAAACAAAAAATGAAACATCATCGTATATTCAACCTACTTTAATTTCGACGAAAATAAACTAATAAAAAATAATGTAAAAAAAAAAACAAAACACTCACTGTACACTTATAATATATGTTTTTTTTTTTTATTTTTAATGTTCATGTAATTTTTTAAATTTTTAAATCGTATATATGATGGCTCATGCATGCCTCTACTTCTCTATTCTATATGTTTGTGTATGTGCGTGTATGTATACATATATGTATTTTATGCAGTGCATTCAAATGTGCTTAATATTCATTAAAGGAGTCAAGAGAATGTAAAAATATTATATTTTGTTATTCATTACATACAAGTATATTTTAAAAATTACATATTATGTACTTGTTATTTTAATTGGAACCGAATATATACACATTTCTTTATATATAAGATTAAAATATTAAAATTACATAAAATGTTTTAGAAAATATATATACGAGTACATATTGATATATTGTCGGCTTATTGAGAAAACCATCTTCTATTCTACATTTTAAAAATTTTGAAATAATTTGGAATGAAATTCGAAAATATTATATTCATTAAAAATATGTATGTATGTAGACTTTAAATTAAAAGAAAAGTAGTCTATTTTCTAAAATATTGTAGTATACAATTATTATAGTAATATGAATTATGTGGGCTTTTTCTATTTACATATTTGGCTCACTTATGTTGGATAGAGGGTTTTCCCCCATAAATCTCTCAATACATTAAGCATGTATTTGCTTATAGGTATATAATACATGTATATATGGGTGTATAATATTTTACTACATAATTTTTTAATTTTCATATATTGCAATTTTTGTGTTTTTTTGTGCATTTTAAATAAAATCGTAGTGTAATGAAATTCTCTATCTCTTAACTTCTTAAGTGTACAAATTTCTTTTCT